CATTGCCCACGCACCATGATTTCGACGAGCACGTTTGCTATTAGGTGGCTGGACACGCCCAGGTCCAAACAATGGAGAATATCTACCATGATGCCCTCAAACCTGAAAGATATGATCTTGAAGAAGTTACTGAGACGCCTGCCGCCACGTCGGCAGCCCAACAGGTGACTGTTATGCGTGACAAGTGTTGCTCTCCAGCCCGCCCCAAGATCAGCCCGAGAGAAGCGCATGTCGCCTCCTGCGAGGGTCGCGCCGCACAAGTAGCAGCACTCCGCGCTGTTCCACCTGTTGAGGTGCAAGAAATCCGAGTAGTACTCCCAATCACCTCGCATCTGAATGGTAGCGAAGTTTCTCCCATAGCACAACGTTCTGCCTGCCTCTGGGTGAGGCACGCCGTTGTGCTGAAGAGCGGGCATCACGCCTTTGAACAATGCGTTGAAACTCCAGGCAATGCGATCCACCATCTGCTCGAACATGTCTAAGTCGAGATCCGACTTCTTGAATACTGTGACGATATCTCTCGTAGCAATCGTGTCGCCATGGCCTAACAGGCGATTGAACTGAAGCGTGAAAAGGCCGTCGGCTTTCGACGTCGGGGCAGCATCGCCATGTAGGCCCAAAGGTACAATAATGGACGATATACGCGGAGCATTGCACTTGTAGGTCGGGTGATCCCGAAGGGCGTGCCAGAATTGGGCGGTCTCGCCATCTTCTCCAGTGATCCGTTGGTTGAACACCAAAGGGCCCTTACGGTACCATGCCTCCAACGTGTCGATCGGGTCGACGAACGGGTGGAAGATCACGTCGCCGTTGGTGTTCTTCAGCTCTGCCCAGCTGATCTGCGGCGCTCGAGCTGGCGTGCCAATGGCGCGACACACTGCCCTGAACGCGAGCTTGGATTGCAGGTTGGATGTGCCAGCGTAAGCGCCGATGTTCTGCGCTCCCTGGGAGGCCGCGGCCTTGGCGAACTTGATCACGTCAGGGCTGCTGATGGATCCCATGGCCCATCTCCTCCGCAAGAGGTCTGTGGATTCACGAGCGTCTCCTCCGCAAGGCGTCGCACCCTCAAGGTCTTCGACGCGGCGCCTGATGCCCCTGCCCTCGGCGGGCGCAGCGCTGCTGGCCTCCTCGTTGCACCGCTGAGGCGCCATCCGCTTGCGAAGCCCACCGTGCGCCTCGGGAACTCTTGGGACGCCATCTGCATGGCAAGGCTCAGGCACCAACCTCTGGCGGATGCCGTGGCCTCGTGGAGGCATGAGTAAGCACACGGTGAATAGAAGCATCTGGGCGCATAGTCCACCCAGCGCCGACGGCGCTGGGGTTTGAGCCAAAAAGGCTGCAGGGTAAAGCGGGGGAGGAAGGGGACGGGAGAGGGACAGAGGGAGCAGCAATGACGTTCTGCATGTGTTCCAGTTTGCGAAAAGCCGTGGCTCGAGGGGCGGGGGGTGGGTGGGTGGGCAGGGTAACCATTTTGCATTGCCCCCCTGCTTGCCCCTCGCCCTCACGAGTGCACTCTCTCTCGTGGGTAGCTCTTTAAGTCAGTCAGCCCAGTCACTCAGTCAGTCTAATCAATCAGTCAGTCCAGTCAGTCAGTCTACTCGTTGATGCATCAACCAGGCAGTTCTTTTAGCCACCATTAGATGCATACTCAGTAAGTCCAGTTAGTCAGCCCAGCCAGTCCACCAGCCAGTCAGTCCAGTCCATCAGCCAGTTAAGCCAGTCAGTCCAGTCAGTCCAGTCAGCCAATCAGTCAGTCCAGTCGGTCAGTCCAGTCGCTGATGCATCAACCAGCCAGTCCAGTCAGTCACCGTCGGGTGCCTACTCACTCAGCCAATCCAGTCAGTCCAGTCAGTCCATCAGCCAATCAGCCCAGTCAGTCAGTCCAGTCAGTCCAGTCGGTCACGAGTTTGATGATGTTGTGGATGATGATCACAGTTGATAATCTCTCTACGCTCGCTCGCCGCCCCGTCCAGCGAGCACGCCGACGCATTGCCATGTGTCCCTGCACCTGGCTATCACCCCCGTCTGTGTGACTGGCCGTCGAGACGGGCCGAAACGCATGCAGGACATCAGATCTTCTGCTTTTTCTGCTGGCTCTCCTTCGGGTTGAACTTATTGAACCACTCGACAGAAGAGTTCAGCGCATCGAAGGCCGTGTCGACTTTCATGCTCAGTGCCAACATCGTGGCCTCGTCCGCCCCCTGCAAGACGGCGTCTTCGACCGACACAAAGATCTGCGTCATCTCCTTGACGTTGTTGGCGATATCCTTGTTGAGCTCCCCTAGGAACTTCCCGCCCTTCGAGTCGATGAACATCTGCTTGGCGATCGTCAACGCTTTCCCGATGTTGAACACTACCTTCTTCCCGTCCGTCTTCAGTGCCTTGAAGGTCGCGCTCTCCTCGGGCTTCACCTCCGTTGGCTCGCCTTCCTCCTGCTTCACAGCGACCAAGCCCGCACCCGCAGCCGAACTTCCAGCGTTGCATGCCCTCATGGATGCGAATGATGCCTCCGCTTCCATCTGCCTCTCCTCGGTGTCAAGGTCAGCCTCGGTGCCGAGCTCGTGCGTGTCCCGCTCCTCGTCGCCCTCCTCGCGGCTGTCCAGGTTGACGGCGTACTCCCTGCTCCGCGGCCCGTCCTTCCCAGTGTCGCGATCGGGGCGCCATTTGGTTGGGTCCTTGTCGAAAACCTCTGCCTTCTCCTTCGCCTTCTGCTCTCCGAATTCCGAAATCATTTTGTTGAAGCTCCACCACGCGACCTTGATCGTGTTCTTCTTGAGAAGGGTGACCGACTTCTTGGACTTCGCCGTGCCTCCACTCTTGAGCTTATCTGCGAACCATGTTTGGAAGTACTCACGCCTTTTTCCAATCGGCCACCCGTCGTACGTCTTCTTCGCCCCGTTCGTCTCGAGCCAGTGCACCATGGACGCGCGAGCTCTCTTGGCCTCGTCGGCGTCCTTGAGGGGATCCTTTGCCTTCTCGAGCTCGTCAGCTGACACCGTCGGCGCCTCCAACGTGCGCTTCTTCGGCGGCATCGGAGGTTCCCACGGAGCGGCTGGCCCCAGCACTGAGCGCGCTCTTGAGCCAAAGCGGCTACGGCCAAGGGGCCCTTCCCACGGGGGCCCCCTGGGCCCCTGGGGCCAACGAAAACCAGGTGAAAAAAAACAGAAAAAAAACAGAAACAAAAAAACAGTCTGTATTCCATCCCGGTTTTGTGCCGGCTAGGCGGCCCTGGGTACTCTAACGGACACAAACACAGGGTGAAAAACAGTCTGTTTTTTCTCTGTTTTATTATGTTTTTTTTGGCGTTTCTCCCAGGGGGGCCGGGGCTCGGCGCGGGGCGGATGGGGGAAGGAGGACACAGGGGGGGGATGGGGAGGAGCTCGGGGAGCTCAGAGGGGGGGTGGACGGGAACGAAGAGAGGTAGGAGTAGGACGTGGGTGCAATCCGAAAGGGCACACCGTGTACGTGCGCTAGCAACGGTATGCGATCCCCAAACAGCGCTTGCATTCCCCAAACAGTGCTTGCGTTCCCCAGGCTGCTATATATCATCCCCATAACAGTGCTTGCACGTATTCCCCAAACAGCGAAACGGCATTATTCAAACAGTGCTTGCGTTTTTGCATGCTTGCCTAAGTGCCCTCGGCTGTTACTTCACCTCTGAGGTGCATAAGGTGCCTAAGGTGCCCAACCCTGCAACTGCTTCCATTCTCCAAACAGTGCTTGCACCTTGTAGCGGGCTCCCCAAACAGTTACGCTCCCCAAACATTGATTGCATTCACCAAACAGCGCTTGCACTCCCTAAAGCGCACAGCCGCAATGCTTTTCCAGACTGTAGTCTCCAAGCACTTTTTTCCCGAGCACGCGCTGCTGAAGAGCGACCGTCTGCCACGCACGCTGAAGTATCCTCGAAGTGGTGCCTTCGCACCGCTGGGCGAGCCTTGTGACTCGACGACTTACTCATGGCACTCCTTGGCCACGATCACGGCTGGCCACTCGTCGAGGCTGGCGCTGCTGCTGGAGGCGAAGGCTCTCTGGACGAGGTGAAGGTGCTCTGTGGGTTCCAGGTGCTCTCGTCGACGACCTCCTCAAACATCTTGCGAACCACCTGTTTGGACGCGAACTTGATGTAGGCCTTCTTGTACTTGCGCTGGGCCATACCACCGCCCGACCTCATGTTAGCCTCATTGATGTCTAGCTGCGACCGTGGATTGCGCAACGCCCTGGAGAGACAGCCGATGTTGGGGAGAATCGAACGGCCATCTTCGCGAACTCCTTGAATTACTGCGTCCGAGTAGGCGTTCACGAACGAGAGGGCCTGCTTGTATTGGATCTTGAGAGACGTAGCAATTCTCTGGACGAAGGCACGCTTGTTGCCACGCTTAGGCTTCCTACCCATCTGGAGGGTGGAAGCTCTGGGGGTCAGCTCGGTGGTGCTGGCTCGAGCCTAGATGTCTCCAGTTGTGGTGACGTGGGGTGCTGGTGATAGTGCAATGGTCACGCTGGCGATGGTGATGATGGTCATGATGCAGACGATGCGTTCACCCCCAAATGGGGGCTGAATTCCCTAAGCAATGCTTGCATGCCCAACACAATGAACAGACCCGTTCCAAACAGTGCTTGCACGTATGCGTTGTGCTCCTAGGGCGTCCTCGATTGAACGTTTTACTCCTAAAGCGTCTTAGTCTTGATCGCCCAAGATGGTCCACCATTTCCTATGATCTCTTCTATCGACGGCTGCAGTCCCCAAGCAGTGCTTGCACCTTCGTGCACTTGTTGTAGTTCCCCCATCAGCGCTTGCACTCTCCAAGTAATGCGTTTGTTCCCGAACCAACGCTTGCATCCTCCGTGTAGTCCGATGCGTGGATGGTGATGATGATGCTGACGATGAAGACCACTGTGCACGCAACCGCGTCAGACCCGTCTACAGCGGGCTAGCGGCTAGAGTATCCTTGAGGTGGCGCCGTCGCGCCGCTGGACAAACCGAGAATGGCGGATCGCTCTCACTCGACCGAGTCCTCGACCTGCACGACCTCGTGATCCGCGACGGCCTGGCTCTCTTCTTGCAAGGTCTCTTGCAAGGTATCTACCTGCTCGAGCGCCCTGTCGTAGGTGTCCGCGGGGTCAGACGCAGCGCGGCGCAACTTCTTGACCCCGACAGGCTGCATCAAGTTCTGGACAACCTCCTTGACTTCCAGGAAACGTACCGCCAACGGGTCCAGCGTGTTGTCGACGAACGCATCGAGGTCGAACGCACTCTCGGGAGGTGGGCCTCCAGGGAATACCGACTCGAAGGTGCTGTAGGCGATGGTAATGGCGTTCGACAGCGCATCCACTTCCTCAGCCACGGACCTTGTATACTTGGTGTCCAGCTGGCCACCCGACGCCCAGGCCCCGAGGAGAAACATCATGTTCTTGCACTGGTTGGCCACCTTGTCTGCGCGGAGGTCGCCCCACCGACTGTCGGGCCCAGGCGGACCCCAACGGCTTTCCGCGCCAGGAGCCACAGGCACGGTGCTCTCGACATCAATCGTCGTTGGAAGCCGCGGTCCGAGCGAAGAGCTAGCACCTTCCTCCACGAAAGGATCACCCTGCTGCTCTAGCTCCAAGAGGTGCTCACGTTCGAGGTCAGACATGCTTCGTAGTATATACTTCTACTGCGTGGGAACGTGAGCCAACATGGCTATGGATGGCAATGGCAATGATGGTGATGTTGCTGCGTATGACCTCACCCTCGTCATCAGCATGGTGATGATGGTGATGATGATGGTGATGATGATGCTGCTGATGATGATGATGATGAACATCATCATCATCATCAGTTGTTACGCTCACTATCAGCATCACCGTCACCGTTAACATCATCACACTCCTGATCACAGCCGCCCATCATCTCTACCAGCCATAGGCGGAAATACGAGGAGGACAACATGACGAGGTTTGAGGATGAGAGGGCTAAGGGTGAATGCGAAGGGCGAGGAGGGCGGATGGAAGGAGGATGCCGGGGACGAGGATGGTTAGCGTGATGATCTTGGGGGGCGAAGTGTGTTCATCTTCGGAATTGCCCCTAGGAAGTCGAACCGTTGCTGGCTCCTCGGGGCCGAGCGCCCCAGCGTGTCAACGCACGCGTGCAATCAAAAGATGCCTGTGAAGCCATGCCTACTGCCTCATTTTCTTTTTCTGACGCTGGTACTTGTTACGGAGCTCGTCCGTCCACGCAGTCGCTGCCGCCTGCGCTGCCTCCCTGACCTTCTGCGGCGACACGCCTGTTTTCTTCATCTGGGTGGTCTGTTTGCCGTGGACCCTGCTGTGCTCGCGGTTGAGGAACTTGCGCCACTCATCGTCCGACATGCTCGCAGGGTCAGGCCGTGTCGCAGGGGCTGCTGCGCCGTCGGACTTCTGCTCCTGGGCTGCTGCGTCGACGGGTGCGACGTCGCCGATGGCCTCGGTGCCCTGCTCAGGAGGTGCGGCCGATGGACGCTTCTTCGCAGTAGCTGGCCTCCTCTTAGCAACCTTCGGCTCCTTACCCGCCTTCGCCTTCTCAACCGCCTCCTCCTTCTTTCTCTTCTGCAACTCCTTCCAATCCTCAGTGCCTGGCGGCGTGAGGGACTTCTCCAAGAGCTGCTTCACGCCCGTGTCGGCCAACGGCGACGCGGCTGGCAACAGCTCCTTGGTGTTGGCCTCTTTGGTGTCGGCCTCCTGCGTGCCGACGTCCTTGGCGTCGGGCTCCTTGGTGTCGGTGTCGGCCTCCGCGTCGAGCTTCTTGGCGTCGGCATCCGCGTCGGCCCGATGGTTCACCTGGACATGTGGTTGGAGAAGTGCGACCAAGTCAGCGTCGGTGCTCGTAAAGAGCTCCGAGCGATCCCAACTGTCGGCGATCCCCTCATCGTCGCTGCTGCTGGCGCTGACTGTGCTTTGCCCTGGCGCGCGTGTCGCTGTCGCTGGCCTCGGGGACGTTGGCGTGACCACGATCAAATCCATGGCGACGCTGAAGCTCTCCACGAACGCGGCTGGGATCCCGCGCCCCTTAGCCTTCTGTGAGGCCAGCTGGGACACCAATGCGCGCAAGCGGGATGCGCAAGCCTCCGCCTCGTTCTTCTTCACCTGCATCCCGTGCTGCTCGAAGTACGCCTCCACGCCCGCCGTGAAGGGCACCTGGAGTGCCTGCAAGCCGCCTGTGCGCTGCAGCATGCGCGAGACGGCCTTGGCCAAAGGCTTAGCCGCGGCCCAGTTCGGGCTTCGCCCGAACGTGAGCTTGTCGTACAAGACGAACTTGCCGTCTACGAACTGGGAGGCAGGCACAAGGGACAGCACCTCCGCCACATCATCCTTCGACAAGGTGGCCCCCCGAGTGGCTGGCATGGCGCTCCAGGTCTTCTGGAGCCTCGAGCCCAAATGGGCTACGGATGTTGGCTCGCAGTTTCTGTTTTGTTTTCGTAGCGCCCCAAGATAGCTCAAATATCCCCCTAGGTCGGCCCAAGATGGTTTCAACGCGTATGGGGGCGACCACCGACGACCCAAGATGCCTTCAAGAGAGCAGGCCGCCAGTCCCCACAACTGCTACCTCATACGTAGTCGCAGCTGACAACAGACTATGGCTCGCAAGGCTTCTTGTCTTGTTTGGTCCTCATCCACCTACAAAGGGGACAATAGGAAATCTATATTTTATGAGGGTTCTCGTCTGTGTTGCTGGATTGGGTCCTCGTTTATCTTCTGGGGTTCGGTGCCTCTTTAAGTCATTCAGTCCAGTCAGTCAGCCAGTCAGCCAGTCCAGTTAGTCAGTCAGTCCAGTTAGTCAGTCCAGTCAGTCCACTCGGTGATGCATCAATCAGTCAGTCCAGTCAGTCACTCTTGGATGCATGCTCAGTCAGTCCAGTCAGTCAGTCCAGTCAGTCCATCTGCCAGTCAGTCCAGTCCGTCGGCCAGCGAAGCCAGTCAGTCCAGTCAGCCAGTCCAGTCAATCAGTCCACTCGTTGATGCATCAACCAGTCAGTCCAGTCAGTCACCCTTGGAAGCCTACTCACCCAGGCAGTCCAGTCAGTCAGCCCAGTCAGTCCAGCCAATACATCAGTCAGTCCAGTCAGTCACGCGTTTGATGATGTTGTGGATTTTGATTACGACGGATGTCTTTTTTCATCCCTGAACGCGCCCGCGACTCCGTCGGACAGTCTAATTCGTCGGGAGTGTGATCAGAAACGCTGGCATTTTTGGCCACGGGCCCGAAACCTGATGAGACCTGGTTGCAAGTGAGTCCCACCAGCCATCTGGGCGACAGGTGGTCTAGGGAGATTTCTCTTCCCTCTTCCAACAATCCCTTCTTCCCCTTCGGGGGGGGTGCTTACCCCTCCCCCCACCCCTCCCCTGGACCTGGACGGGGCGTTTCGCGGGGAGTTGGAGCGCCCAAGATGGCCTAAGATGGCTTCAAGAGGGCCTCCGAAGTTCCAAGTTGGCCTCCAAGATGGATCAATACGGCTGAAGAATGTCAAGGCAAGTTTCGACACGCCTCCAAGAGGCCGCAAGAGGGCCACAAGACAGTTCCAAGTGCTCTCGGAGACCCCTCAGGGCCTCCCCAAGAGCCCACATGTTTTTAACATCTGAGGGAATCGCTGATGTTTGCCTTCTCTTCGCTTCCGATGCGCTTCTGAGGCCTCAAGATGGCCCCAATATGGCCCAATAGAGCTCCAGTAGGGGCCCAGGAAGCCCCAAAGACGGCCCCAAGATCGCCCAAGACCGCCCTAAGAGGAGCCCAAGAGCGCATCAAGATGCGGGCCCCAGGGAGGGGGGCGCCGATCGGAACCCACCCCTCTTTTGACCGATAGCCTCCAAGATGGCCCCAAGAGGCGCTCCAGGGCCCCCCAAAGAGTCCCAGGAGGGTCCCAAGAGCGCCCAAAGAGGCCCCAAGATGGCCCCAGAAGCCCCCAAGACGGCCCTAAGACGGCCCAACTATGGCTCAATATGGCTTCCAAGACGCCCAAGACGGCCTCCCAAGAGAGCCCGAGATGCCTCCAATATGTCTCCAAGGCGGCCCAAGATGCACCCAAGACGGCCCAAGATAGCCTTAGGATGGCCCACGACTGCCCAAGACGACCCCTGAGGGGCCTCCAAGGCGGCCCTTTGATAACGAGGAAGTCTCATGCGGGAGGATCGTGCCTGAAAGGGCTCAGGCGGGAGGTTCTTGTTTTCTCTGCACACCTGCGCACCCCACGCATTCCTTCCTTCCTCCCCTCTCCCTCCTTGTCTCTCACACGTTCTCATGATGATGATCAGCATCATCACAATCATCATCACTCCACACACCCACCCACTCATCATCATCATCATCATCATCATCATCATCATCAACACCGTCATCATCGCCATCGTCGCCATCACCATCTCACGCAGTTACGAAGCCATTCACACACTCTCGCGCACACACACACATGCACACATACGCACCTTGAGGAATGCGGGAGCCTCGTCTGTGAGAGCATTTCGAGGAAGTCTCAGGCGGGAGCCCCCTCCCTATGGGGCCGCCACCTCCCTGTTCGAATCCGAGTGGGGTCATCGGAAACTTGTAGCATCGTCATTTTTGGGTCTCTGGCCTGGAATATGGAAGAAGTCTCAGGCGGGAGGCGCCCGCTTAGGATGTTCAGGTTAAGACGGCTTCTTAAGCTTCGATGGATAGGGAGTGGCCATCTTGGGTGAATATAAAAAATGGCGCGGCAGCGTTTTTCAAAAAAAGACGCCGCAGGGCGTCGTTTTTCTTGAAGGCCCTTCAGGGCCAAGTCGGAAATGACGCCTTGAGGGCTCGGGGCAGTGCTCTCGCTGTTGAAGGATGCGAATCCAAGGGCGCAGTTGTACGACCGAACGTGCTGCATGAAGTGGTCGTGGGAAAGACCCGGACGAAGGAATTGAGCCATTTCGGCCGGAGCGGGAGGCAGTAGGGGGATACCAGCCAGGGCTCCGTACCTGCAGCACGCGCCGAAGTCCTTTCTGCGTGCTGCCGGGCAACGCGCGCGTTCGGCGAAGAAGTGCAGAGCCCCGCACGTTGCGCAGGCTCCTTGAAAGTGGCCGGTCGGAGAGAGCGACGCTTTCGGAACGCGGTTGCTGCATCATTCGTCTGTCGACCACCAGCCGGCGCGGTGGCCGGTGCGTACGCCAAAAGAAATCCCAGGCACGGGTTCTGCGAACCAGTTCCGATGCGCTGCGCAGGCGGGCGGGCAGCTGGACGAGTTCGGAAGTGCTACGCGGGTGGACTTGAGGCGACACCACGGCGCGGAACATTTCGGCGAGTCACGTGCTCGGAGGTACATGCGGACGGCTGCCCCCACCTGCTTGCGGAGTGCTTGCAACGGATCGCTGCGTGGACGGGCGTGTGGGACACCAGGAAGACCCCGCCGTCGGAGGATGATGGGGCCCGGCGGCGGCGGTGGCTACCGCGGCATGTCGGACGTGGTCGGGGCAGTATCCGGTGGCGCACATTGCTTTCGTCAACTTTCTGTCGCACAGTGGGAAGGAACATGCGGGTTTAAAGCAACGTTCGCACATGCCGTTGTTGCGCGGCACTGCGCGTCGCACGCCATGGCGGGCGGGGGCGCGGCAGCCGGCCTTTCCGGGCCCCTGGAAACGGGGCCCCGCGAGGCAACAGTGCCTACATTCCACCACGGTGCCGAGAGGGCCCACGCGAAAAGCGCACCCAATGGCACGATTGCTACATGGCTTCCCTTTCCGAATGCACGCGATGCAGAGGCCGTCGGACGACTTCCGTTAAGCTGCACCGTTGCACCCAGACGAGCTACAAGGGCGTTCGGCTTGCTCGTAGGATCGTTTGGAGAGGGATGGTAGTGGTTGAGGTATGGACAGCCCACACGTTCGACATAGGCCTGCTGAACCAGGGGTGGAACGGCCGTCGCACCTACGCGTCGCGCGTGGGAAACAGGACGAAGTGCAAAGACAACACAAAGTGTCCTCTGGCGACTCGACTACGTTCGTACACGCGGGCGCGCGGCAGAAGTGGAGCAGGGCGGGCGGTTGGCAGACGAGGCAATGCTGTCCGCGTTGTCGAAGGGCGCGGAAGTTGCAGGTGGCCGTGGCGCAAGGAAAGACCCCGACGATGCACATGGGGCATTGCGCGCCCGTTCGAGATGTGCTTTCTTGCACCGCTGGCGCCCCGCACTTCGGAGCGCTACATCGCGAGGGCGTAGATGCAAGCGCCGTCGAAGACTGCGCTGGGGCGGCTAGAGAAGGGCTGGCGGCTGGGCTGGCTCCGCCACAATGAGCGCACAGATCTGGAATTCCGGGCGCTCCTCGGCGCGAGAAGCACACTGTGCACGGTCGACGTCTGGCTTGGCATGGGACGCAAGCGCTGTGGGCTGCATCGCTCCGTTCCTCCTGGCAGCCAGGCGATGCGCGGGCGAATTGCCGACCAGGGTTGTAGGGGCAAGAATGGTTGTTGTGATGGTTAACGCATTGCGAAAGCCGGCCTGATGCATTTTTGACCTTTTGCCGGACGTGGGAAGGAGACCCCAGCACCGCGAAGCGACTGGGCATGGAGCCTTCAGAGAACGGAAAGCACGGGCCAGATGATTTGTTGGTTGCCAGAAGGCGGCAGCCGACGCGGGCGTTCCTACACAAGTTCCACTCGCGCGTGGTATTGTGGCATGGGTCGGAGTAGTGCGTTGTGCAGAAAGTAGGCGTGACATGTGTTTTTGGCCGTCGGAAGGGTGGAGCTACAGGAGCCTCGCACTGGGGGTGGGCACACCGTGCATCTGCCGAAAGGCACCGCTTGCAAAATCTTGGACGTTCTCGTTTGGTGGCGCCTTCGACTGGGATCTGAGCTTGGAGTCCACTGCAAATTGGATAGTTATGACACGTGCGTCGCGGCCTCTCAGCAACAGCTGGAGCCATGACCACGAATACGGAGGTGCAGGGAGCGGCGGCTCGACCCGCGATATGGGTGGCAGCCTGCAATGCCGTAAAAGTAAGCAGGAGAATCAGGAGAATACTGACTGGTGACTGCGGAGGCAGCAGCATCATGTCTTCAGCCGATATGGGGTACGGGGTCGGTGGAGCAGGACGCGGAAGTGCAACTCGGAGACCTTGTTGGAAGCTCCGGGAACAGCCTCGGCGCTGACCTGGGCCCCGTCATGGCTCCATGGATTGGCCAATTGTTGTGCACGGAAACGGAAAGAGCGCTGAAGGAACTTGCCCGAGACGGCTCATGGCACCCTTCGCTCTTGGGAGCGTAAATGTTAAGGGCTGGTTACGTCACTGCTCCCCGTCCTCCTCTCCTCCTCGTCCTCCTCCTCCTCCTCATCATCAGCCTCCTCCATGTCCCCCCCGCTCTGTTCAATCTGCCGCTCCTTCTCTTCCTACACCTC